ATAAATCGAACTTGCGGTACTGGTTGAGCAGCGCCCGGCAATAGTTGTATGAAAATCCATATCTGTCGTGTTTAGCGGCCAAATAAATTACTATGTATAATCATATTTGTCGTGTAATTTAAAAATGGAACGATCTTCTACTCCGCAACATGGCGATCAAAGAGGTAACTTATCAAAGGTTTAATTTAAATTTCGAACTGGCTTGCACATAGAAAGCTGTTTAGTGAAAAAAAATAATACTTTGGCGCGTAAAAAACTATTGTTATTAGTTGTTCGTCAACTTTGTCATTGGTTTTAAATACTTTTGTATTTGACAAAATGAGTTCAAGTGAAGACAATGAGTGTAATGAAATTATTTTAACGCCACCTGAAATTCAAGAGGCAGCAAGAGCCGTAGTAGAAAACTTGTTGCCGCCAAAATCTAAAGAAAAATATTTGAAAATCTATGAAAATTTTGTTCAATGGAAGAATGAAAGAAAATCGAAATCCTTATCCGAAAATGTTTTTTCTGGCTTATTTCGGCGAACTCGCCAAGAAAGTGAAGCCTACAACGCTTTGGGTCATCTATTCAATGCTAAAATGCACAACTTTAATGAAACATAACGTGAATTTGAATAATTTCCGCGCATTATTTGAGAAAAGAACTATACAAGCCTTGGCCGCAACTAGGCATTGATGAACTCACGTATGTGTTGCCTCGGGTTCCCCTCGGCCCACATTCACACGTTCGTCCATCAATGCTTCTCTTGCCAGCCGCTGCAGTAATGTACTATTTTCTCAAACATGCTTGGGAATGTGAGCATTATTTTGACAATCTTCTTAGAGATAAATCAAAATTGCCGTAATGGCCAGATACTTGCGGACAGCGGCCGGCAAAAGTCGTATGAGAGAAAATCCATATCTGTCGTGTTATGCGGCCAAATAAATTACTATGTAAACTCATATCTGTCCTGTAATTTAAAAATGGAATGACCTTTTATTTCGAAACATGGCTAACAAGAAGGTAACTAATAAAAAGTTTTATTTAAATTACGAACTGGCTTGTAAATAGAAAGCTGTTTATTGAAAAGAAAAACGAAAAAAAATATATATATACAAATGAACATTATGGCGCGTGAAAAATTATTATCGTTCGTTATTCGTTATTAAACTTAAAAAGTAAAATTGTGTTTTTGATTTCCGCGCATTGTTTGAGAAAAGTACTATTACAAGCCTTGGCCACAACTAGGCATTGATGGACTCACGTATGTGAGCCTCAGCAACGCCTCGGCCCACATTTGCACGTTCATCCATCAATGCCTCAGTTGCTGGCCGCTGCAGTAATGTACTATTATCGAGACATTTCATCCCTACTTTACTATTGGTAGTCGCCTATTACGACCTGGAAAATAAATATTTGACATCAAATACTCATCGTATTTTCATAAAATACTAGATATAGTGAAAGAAAATACAATATTACGAGTTACCGTTGCCTACTTAAATCCCTTCTATAGTTCAATTTCTATCATTAGGTCGGCAAATAAAATATGATAGGCACCTACCTAATAAAATCAATTTTATTAAATTATAAATAGTTCTGTATTTTACGTTTTTTTTTTTTTTTGGTATAAAAAACAGCTCAAAGATGTAATAACTGTACTATAAGACTGGCAATGCAATCACAATAACGACACAGGAAGAGAAAATAATATAATTAGAACTTGTACGTATTCCACACAAAATCCGCTTCGAGTTTACATTCTGTATTGTTTTTTCTCTTTTACATTACTAATTGTATACTTTATAATCTAAAGCACGAGTGACAAAAGCAATTGTCAATGAATGAGCGAATCGATTAATTTCACCTTCAATGGGTCTGTCAATGAACTTCGATTAAAATTCTCACTACGATTGACAATATCTCCAATTGGAATTTTGTCAACACTGATGATAATTGTTAATTTAATTCGATGCAGTAAAATGTCCAATCAATCGAAATTAATTCTATTTACTGGGGGAATGAAGCTAATAGGAACATTCCATACTATGTTTATTGGAACACATGAAAATTCTTATTAGTTAACAAATTCATATTGTTACTATTAAGGTAACAAATATTTAGTAAATTGAAGTGTATGAGTTTATGTTTATTTAGTTTTTAAATTGTAGATTGAACTTTTAATTGTAATCGAAATATTAAGCTCTTATTTTTATTATCCCATGTGCGCCTCAATCTTAAATTATTATGTTTTGTATATTGTGTAGTCCAAGAAGTTTACGGTAAGTGAATTTTATTTAGAAAAGCTACAATAATCAAGTACTTGTATTTTAATTAAAAATAGTAAATTAAAAATTTAATTAAAAAGAGTAACCTTGAACCTCTGTCCCATTCGTGTTCCTACCGTAAAACAGTTGTGTTTGTATTGCTGTGTTTCGGTTTGAAGGGTGGTATTGGTATATGGCGTGAATTTACAGGGTAAAGAGGAATAACATCCGAGTTCTCAGGAATGGCAACGCATGGGGGTATCATGGGCGTAACAGTATACTCTGTTATGTCCATGGTACTGCTCATGTCTATAGGCGACGGTTACCACTTTTCATCACGTGGGCCGTTAGCTTGTTTGCCATTCTAAGTTGTATAAAAATACATTTTTTTATGTAAATCCATGAAAATAATATATTATTATTTAGGTAAACTAAATAATGTGTTCATTTGACACATTATTAGTTTACGTAAATAATATGTTATTTTCTTGTACTTTCGTTAATTTCTGGTTCTAAATCTAATGATATAACGGATTCAGTTCCGCCACAAAATTCATCAGTTCTATAATACCGCGACAATAAACTGACTTTCGCGTTCATTTTTATATTTTTTAGTAACAAACAAATATAAAAATATAATATCGTCTATAAATGGATTAAACCTCATGTTAATTATAAACAATACTTGAATCATGTTGTTTCGCCATTCAATAACATAATTCGTCAGAGAAATTTACACTTGCAAATAAAAACAAGTTATTGTATATTGTAGTTATAATATGCAATAAGAACTGCTCTGTAAAAATGTTTTATACGCAATTAGTATCATAATTTAGAACTGTAAGTGGCATCGTTAATTTCTACTAGTATAGGGTCGCCCTTCTACTTTTTTAATATGATAACAGAATTCTTTTTAATATTTATGAATGACAATCAATATGTAATATGCATAAATTAGTGACAAATTTATTTGAGTGAGTGGAATTAGGATATATTTTATCAGTATCGGTACACTCACAAAGTATATGAAATTTCGAACTACTTATAATTTGACAAATAGTTTGTTAGGAATTAATTTTTAAATTTCTTCATTAGTATATCTGTGCGTATCCAGGGCGGACAACATGTTTATAAAGATCGAAACTTAACTAACAACTATATTATAATTAACTACTTCAGATATCAATCAAAATGCCTACCTATCTCTTAATTGGGGAAGATAGGTAAGATCATTATGCTTTATGCATTGTTTCAAATATCTACCTAACGCCCTTATAATGAGGTATATTGTTTTTTCAACATTTCGCACTCCGAGTAGTAATAGAAAACAATATTTTAAGAAATGACCTTGTTTGCGTAAATAGGTACGTCGTCTGTGTCTAGTTAACCACTATTAATTGTACTACTTTCCTTTTTCTTTATGTAACTTAAAATGGCAAACAAGCTGACAGTCCACCTGATGAAAAGTGGTAAACGTAGTATGAATAGTAACCATGGACATTACAGAGTATACTGTGTCGCCCGTAATACCCTTCATGAATTGATGTTCCTGAGGATTAAGGTTTCAATGATTTTTAATGATTTATCTGATTTTACTAAACTTACCTACTTAGTCTATATCCAAGCAAAACGATAGGGTGAATGTACCGGTTCACGGGCCAGTCAATGCATTTGGAATTATTTTTGGTGAAATGAATTGTTATTACATATTTTAAAATCTCGCTGTAATGGAAAAGTAAAATCTAAATTGTTTAATTATTGTGGTTTTTTTTTTTGATGGGTGAAAATGGTATGGTAACCCCGCCTGCGCTAACGGTATACGCTTGCGGAGCACCAGTGAAGGGTGATAGATGAGAATGAAAACAGGCCAGTTAGTCCATCATGATGAATTCATCAGGAATTAATCATGATAGTTTCCAGGGAGAACCGCGAGGAGGTCGACCTGTTTGGGTATATTGCTAGCAATGGGATTCTCAGTCTCCATTACTAACAATCTCTTTCCCCCCAATTATTGTGGGTTATTATTGTTTTATTTAAAGAAAAGTTTTCTCCAAAATTGTGATTATTTCAGTTCTCGTACATTTACTGGTGGTTTTCGTCTAAATTGCGCTAGTTTTCTACTACAAAAATAATCATATAATAAAGAATTTTTAAAACATACATTTTATAAATTTTAATTATGCTTGTTAAATGTTCAAAAAGGATAAATATAAATAAGTGTTACTTGTATTCTTAGTATACTGATTGTATTACTCTCGTGCGAAATTTTTGTATACATTTTATTAGTGGTTGATTAATTCCTCATGAGTTCTCGACCACCGTTTCATCGTCATAAAACATGCTTTGATATAGATATAATTCCCTACATGAAAATGTCGGTCGTATTGTAACGTTAATTGCATTACGTATCCTCCATTAGTAGAATAAAAACATTTCTCTTTTATTCTTGCTATTGAAAAAACCAGGACTGAATATATATATATTTAAAACTATTATTCCAATTTTAAGTGAAAATGGCCGAGAACCACCCGCGATCAATAAACCGGTACATTAACCCTACTACTTTGTGTAAATTGGTATATTTTTTCAGAGCGTAGTAGATATTTTTAGTACCTAGCTACGTAGTATGTCGTAGATTCTGGGTAGTCTAACAATCGATTAGTCAATAGTAAAGTTCTTCATTACCTATACAGATATTGCCCCAAATATAGTGTATTTATTCTATTATCTCCAGCATTCGCATCTAATCATACCTTTGGTCTTGGTGATCCTCTTGTTCGAATATTTGATCATGATCCTCCTGTGACAGATTAAGCTCGCTGAATTGCTGCTCCACGGAATTAGACATTTCACTGATTTTTTTAAAGAATTAATAATATTAACGACACGATTACAGGTAACTAAAATACTGACGATGTTAAATTGGAATGTTTTTTATTACTAGACACCAAGTTATTTTAATTCATGATATAGATTTTTCAAATTACGGAGCGTGGACTTTTGGATAGTCGATGGTTAAGGGATTGATTATATGCCGGCCGGTGCGCACACGTGGTTGTTTTGGATGCAATGTTTATTTTGTGTATATACCTACTTAGTATGATACGAAAGTAGGTAAGGCATCGATGGGTATGGCGCGTAATGACTTGTATCGACGGGTTGTCGTATGATAGGATAGCGACGCCGAATAAACGGCGAAATCGCTTGGATCGGAATATTGCGGAACGGAAAAGGGATGGTTGGGCGCGAGTGGCACGTGTGCGCCGTGCGTACGGTTCGCCGGCTATCGAGATCACTACTCAACTGAGCTGAGCGAGTAAACTGATGTGACGTGCGTGACTGAACGAGGCGAGGCGAACGAAGCGACGCCAACTCGACTCGATTCTCCTTGCAACCATTTAATGTGGATTTTTTTAGAGAATGCGCGCGCTGGGCGTGGCTCAAGTCGAGGCCCGCGGGGAGAGCTCACCACACCTTAGTGAAGCACAAGTATCGATTTTAAAGTTTATCGAGTTTCGACGTGCTACCAAACATACCCGTTAATAAAGCTAGTATTAAATGTTGCAGCCACGTATTGAACAGATAACAAAATCGCGAGTGATTGTACTAAATTAGAAAATTTTTAAGTGATATACACCTACCCTTATATGTTACTTCAATTGATTTTTAAAATGATAAGAAAAACGATAGTATTAGTACCTTAGATTATAGTGTCTCTATATAAACGCTTCGAGAAAAACGGGTCAACTTTTTCATACTATTTTGCGTATAAGTGATTCCTTTATAACTTCTATATTTATGTTGTTTTTTTTAATTTTTGCATCTTTAAAGCTTAAAAACTCATTTTATTTATGAATAATTAAATATAGATACGTCAATATGTGCGTAAATACATAGAACACTGATAAAAAAAAAAAAAACAAGTCAGCCAATTAAGTTTTTGAGACTAGAAATAGAGCATCTAGATTATCTCTATTTATCTTTTATAGATAGAAGATACTCTAGATCTAAGATCTACCTACATAACTAAATACAAAAGATAATCCTACAACTAAATTATACATTCATTTAACACAGGTATCTAACTAATAATTAATGTTTAAGGTACTATGAACGCTTTGCTAAAAACGGGATATTTTTATCAATGTATATTTTGATTTGGGGATACCAGAATACATAAAGTATAATAATTCATAAAAATATGTACTAATTGGTTGTCAGTTTATCAGAGTTATTTAATTATTAAAGAGGTAGTCTTTGATAGATTTACAGTAATTTAATGAAAAATTTGTTAGTTTAGCGATCCGGCCCGCTTCGCACAATTAATTATATAGGAATTTTGAAAGTTATATATAACCAACATATTTTACTTGCTGATACGATGATGACGATATTTTGTATGAGTAAAAAAATTCGAAAATCGGCAGTAGTTCATCCATTACAAACAAAACTTTCTTGTACAGAACAACAAAAAATACATAATAACATATTAGGGTGAGATAGAAAAATAGGTTATCCAACTACACAATATAAGCTCAAAGCGGATTTGACGTGAGTACGAACAAAAGTGAATGTAGTGGGTTTGAATTGTATTATACCTGGATCTTTTAACATAAATTAGGAAAATATTTCGTACATTTTTCTTTTTTTGCATTAATATGTTAATATGTTTAATCGAGAAATATTTATGACAAGAACTGGTAGAACAAAATACATAATGTAACCCAAATAAAGTCTACGAATTAAAATACTTTTGTAATTCTATAAATATATTATATAAATTCAGAACAGTCACATGCCCACATTTCCATTATACGTATTAGTTGTCTCGTTTTTATGATTGCATTGCCAATCTGTCAGTATGTGAGTACATTATAATACGTCTATAGTTGTTATAGACTTCATATCAGAAATTAATCTGAAAAAAAAAAAATACGTTCAAGTATTTGTTACGAAATTTTTCGCTATTTATATATATATATTTTTTGTGTTCAATTTTATATAAATTAAGCACTGTCACATGACGCCTATGGTAATTATTTTAGACCGAACTAACCGAAGTGTTATATCCAGTTTTTGACACCCGATATTTCATATATACAAACATATATATATATATATATATATATATATATATATATATATATATATATATAAAATAATAAATAGATTTATTTTCTCTTCACAATTTATCACAGTGAGATACAATGAGACATGCTTATATTAAAGTAATCAAATTATAAATATAATTGTGAGAGACTGGTGCCTGAGATAGGTATAAGAATACCTGTATTACAGGTCACCAGGGCCTCACTCCGCAGGGTTACTTACTAAGTACTTGTAATATAATAAATTAATTCAATGTAATAAATATAATTTATAGAAAGAGATAAATAATTATAATACATTCTGGGAGTTGTGTGTGTGTGTGTGCGCGCGCGCGCGCGCTTATATATATATAAGCATCATCTTTCATATCAATGTATAGTTTACAGGACAAGGTTTCTTTATTTTACACACTAGTATAAGATTCTCATATCATAGTGAACTTCATATAAGTTAACTTCCGTGTTTTAATATAGAAATTATATACGATGTCTATTGCGTTTTTTTTATTTTTGGAAATTAATGATAAGTCATTTCGATATCGTGCATACCATTTATATATGTGATTTCTTCTATATTATATATGGATAACCAAAACTTAATTTATAATATTTGTATATTACTATATATTACTAGAGAAAAAGAAGGGTAGTTTATTTCCATAGATCGGGTACCAATATGTGTGCGTATCAGTACGGACACAACGTAATACGCACACTGTTACAATATTTTGCCTGTATTTCGAACGCTAGATCTGTCATCGAGTAAAGACTGGTACAGGTATGATAATGATGAAGGAATCGTAACACCATAGTCCTTACAACAATCCATGAGGGTACCAAAGGTATAATGAAGTATTCTGTTGCCCATAATGATACTCATGTCTATAGGCGATGGGATCAGACTTTCCATCTGGTAGGCCATAATTTTATTTGCCATTCTAAGTTTCATAAAAAACATTAAATGTATAGGACCTGGAATAATGAATATGTCCTTCGTATTTTAAAAAAAACTAATCCAAAGCATTATAAAATTTATAAATCTTATCTACAATTTTGTTTCATCCGCTGGAATAAAATTAATTTCTAGTTCCACATCAATATTATTTGATTAACACTGACTGCAGAAATGGCATGTAAAACTACTATATAATTTACAAACACGGGAGATATGATAATTTTATTGTATATAATAAGATAGCCATCGAAATGCTATGAACATATGTAATTTTAAATAGCAATAGAATATAAATTTCTTATAAGTGCGAATATAGATATGATGGACATAGCTTTTTCAATTTATACAAGTAATGTAATTAATTTGTCCAACAAAATAAAGGCTTAAGAAAAGCATGACCTCTTGGTTATACTTTTTAAAAGATTTGCTAAAGAGCAAATCTTTTGACAAGCAGCAATCTTTTTGACTATCTAGAAAAATATCCATTTTGAGTCTTAATTTAAAACTTTCATAAGACTCCTTTTGTATTATTGACATCAATTGGGTTTCGGCTCTTTCATACTCTTCAGCAGTAATATCCTAATAACTTCTATACTGTCGATAGAACTTGGGAAATTTCAAGCACCATGCAACGGTTCTAACAACTTTTGAATACTTTCCAAAATGAAGAAATCTGTCAGAAAATTTGGTACCTTCTTGCACAGTTAAACAGCTTTTCTTTACTTCCTTGTAATCTTCATTTTCATCTGGAGCAACATCAGAATTGGGCCACGCTGATTGTGGATTATGAAGCCAAGCTGAAACTTCCCACCATAGACTTTTCAATAAATTTTGAGCATTGCACCCTCTTGATGGAAGATCAGCTGGGTTAAATTCACCGGGTACATGACGCAAAGCATAGCTGTTACTTCTTTCTGTAATCTCTTTCATTCTATTGTGAACAAAAACATTTAGACCTGATTGCCGTCTTATCCATGCTAACACAATGCTAGAATCAGTCTAGTAGTATTCTTTGCAATTCAGTTGCAATGAAAATTTAGCTAATGTAGCCAATCGTGTGGCTAACAAAGCTGTAATTAATTCAAGTCTCGGCATTGTAACTAGTTTCAATGGAGTAACTCTACTTTTAGCAAGAACAAGTTGTACTGTTACCATATTATCATGTTCCGATCGCAGAAAGACGCATCCAGAATAAGCGTATTGGCTTGCATCACTAAAAACATGAATGGTGTTATTGCTACCAGATAAATTTAATACACTCAATCTTCTTGGAATGCGACATTTTTCGATAGCACTTACATGATGAAGCCATTCTCTTGCTGACTTTCCCAAATCTAAGGTAAAATCTTTGTCCCAGTCCATAAATTTTTCCCAGCACCCAAACCCGATTGGATCGAAAATACTTTGCGCCATTGATAACAATGTCCTTTTTGTAAGCTTATCTGTAACTTATTTGAAAAAAGGAACTTTACAATAGAGTTCATCATTTTGAGCATCCCAAGTAACTCCTAATACAGAGGTATCTGCTTGATTTTTCTTTTCTCTCTTTTTCTTTTTATCTTTTTTCAAATATACCATTAGTAAAATAAATATAACATATAACGAGACAAGTAGGACATTCCCCGTGCCCCGTGTAGGTGCAAACTGAAAATCAGCGCTGAACGAACATCAGTCCAGCAAAAGCTGAGTTTATACCTATTGCCAGGCGCATACGATTAATGGACAATATATTGATTAATTAATATATGTACATTATAATTTGTGAAGAATGGCAATAAATTTTATTATTATTATTATTATTCACTTACATAATATAAGCTCGAAGCGGATTTGGCGGGAGTATGAATTAAATTACTTGAAGCAGAATTAAGTGAAATATAGTTAGTTAAAATTGTTATACCTGGATATAATACAAAATTAGAAAAAAAAAATAACAATGGAATATTATAGAACATTCAGAAAAAAATCCTTTATATGTACAATGTAATTTTTTCTGTCTTCCCTTTCCTCATTTGTGCTCTATTTTCAGAAAATACCAAAAAACAACCATGTAGCACAAGTATTAAAATTTTACCGTATCGCGGGAAATAAGCTGTGTGAGGTCAACGCCACAAGCGTACGTAACTACCTACGAGGAAGCACCATTGACCACACGGGACCTACGTATTACGAATCGAGTGGATCGAACGATTTCAAATACATTGGGCGGCGTGAATACTAAGAATCATTAATAGCTGTGGTGCACAGTGGCGTAGCTAGGTAATCAAAGGCTCTGGGGTAAAAATAAACATGGACCCCAACTAAACTATTTGAA